GGGGGGGGGGGGGGTGGGAGAGAGTGAGAGAGAGAGCATTTAGGCTGAAAGGTCGTTGGTTCGTCTCCGTCACCGCTACTCTCCCTTCAGCCCTCCCTCCCTTCCACACTACTCTGTCTGGTCCGCCGGCACTTTCTTTGTCCTGACTTGCTCCCGAAGCTCTCGTCACACACCGAAACCTGGTCTCGCAATCCAACTTCCCACACCCCACCCCCTTCCACCTTCCCTCTTCCCTCTTCCTTCCCAGGCTGGCTGTGTTTGTTTCTGTCTGTCGCTGTTTCACGCAATGTGGAACCCCCCACTCCTCCGTCCCCCGTCCCCCGTCCCCTTCACACTGGCCGCACTGCAACATGGTCGCTATAAATAAAGCATGGTGAAGTAGTATTCTTCTCTGCTGGACAATGGAGCACCGCACACACCATCATTGCCATGCGATGCTATGCTATGCTGGACATTGCTTGCTAGATTCCTACCTTGCTTGCTTGAACGAAGAACGAACGAAGAATAAGAGAGAGCTTCAACACCATTTCCACCACAATATTCATGAAACCCTTTTCTATCTTCATTTTCTATTGGATGCCAAATATACTGTATGCAAATCTACCCTCCATTATTTGTAAATTCAGATTGTATATATGTATATTTTTAAAGTTAGCAACTAATTTCAAAATATTAGAGGTGATCACATATATTTTAGCGTATGTAAGTTGAAAAAAAAAAAAAAAAAAAAAAAAACTTTCAGAAAAGGACTTTGTTTTTAAATGGCTAATGCAATTGAGTATATTAAGGTGATTAAATATGGATATATTGGTGCAATGGCTTTTAAAGTTTCAAAATATTTATAGAAAACAATAAGATTTCTCTGATAAATTCTAATATTTTAATGTCACAATGTTTTTAAAGTAAAAACAATCATTTCTTTGAGAAAAATAATTTGATTTGATTCATGATTTTTTAATTTTTATTTTTTTTGTAGTTTGTTTCATTTTGGTTTCTTTAAATTTGATTTTTGATGTTTTTAAAAATATAATGATATCTTCCTTTTTAAATTTAAATCAGCAAACTATTTTAAAATCAAATTATATATCTTAAATTATCTACTCAACTTATGTACATAGAGAGAATTTAAAAAAACTTCTGCTGATACACAAATTAAAACATACATTAGTTTGTTAATGAAACAAAAAAATGAGAGTTGGAAAAAGGAGGGAAATGGAAGGGGGGTCAAGATGAAGGCTGGAAACAAAGGAAATAGGGACTGACAACAAGGAGGGTGGAGCTAAGAGCCATAATTATAATGATGGTTTCTAGAGACGATCCATTTTTTTTAATGATGATTATAATATGATGGATAAATGGCTATTGCCACACACAAAAAGATCATTCAATTTAGTAAATGGATATGTTATTTTAATAAATAAATAAATATATATATAATATTCTAATTACTATTCTATAAATAAAAACTAAAATATGAAGATAATCAATTATTCAAATCAATGTTTTTATTATTTTATACAAATATAATACCAACATTTTTTCAACTCTATAAATCAAAATAATTATTTTCAATTATGTTTCAACATAATGTATAACTACTATGATAAATCAAAATTCTTATTATTTAGTACATAAAGGATTAAAATGATAAACATAATCATTTTGAATTTTACATTTGTATGTTCAAATTTTTCTTTATAAATAGCATATATTTTTAATTATTATGTTTAACAAAAAAATATGCATATTAAAAAAAGAAAAAAATTAATATATATTTTTCTATTTTTACAATCAATAATTTTAAATAATTAGTATTTAAAATTGTACAATTTACAAGTTTATAACTTCAAAAATATTAGATGTCTTATAAATATATGTAAAATGAAAATAAAAATTATCAATGCATTGAATAATGATACAAATTTTAACTTGAAATTCTCAATAATAATTTTTAAAAAATATTAAAAGTATATATATATATATATATATATATATATATATATATAATAAATTAGTGTCTAAATATCTAAACAGATTTTGAACTGAATTATTTATATTTGATATCATGAATATCTTTGAAATTTGAAAATTTCTAATTAAAAAATAAAAAATACTATCAAATATAAATATTACAATCAAATAACTATATATAGTAGTATAATTTAAATTTGTTTATTATTAAATTTTTAAAATTTTCAAAATTAGATTATCCAATATAATTAAATATAGTAAAATATCTGCCATAACTTTAAAAGTTTTTATTGTATTAAAGAAAAAATTAGAAATAAAAATTATAAAACTTATAATCAATTTAAAAGTGTCATATTTATGTGCAAACAAATATGACCAATAATTATTTAGAAAAAATTGATGATTGTTACATTGTATAGCTATAAAAATTATCCATTTCATTTTTTAATCATAATATAATTTAATTTATAAAAACTTGATTGAAAACTTGTTAAAATTAAATCTAAAATATATAAAACTATGAAGTCTAAATTATTTATTTTTATTTGATTTGTATAATATTAGAAAATTTTGAATATTTTATAAAAATAAAAATATTTTATTTTTAAAAATAATATTTATTTATTTATTTAAGAATTTTTTAAATAATATAATCTTTGATTTTTTTCCAAGATTAAAAGAAAAAAATAGATTGACATTATTATACTCTAAATATTAATTGTTATTAATTTTTATAATTATTTTATATTAAATAAAATAGATTTATATTTTTGATAATGTTATTAGTAAAAAATAATTAAATTTTCAAATAGGTTAAAAGAAAGGAAATAATCATGTAAATTATATTTAAAAAAAATCCAAAATCAACATTAATTAGTTACATATGTTAATTAATTAAGATTTATTAATTAATAAGTATTAAATAAGTATAATTAATTGATATCATTAATTAAATATATTAATGTTAAACTTACTTAATATTTAATTATTCTTTTTTATAGATTCATTTATTAATAATAAATTTTATTTTCTTATAATAAGTTTTTTTTTGTTATTTCTTCTTAAAATCACATAAGTACCTTATAATTAGATTTTTTCTTTCTTCTAAAACAATATATATATATATATATATCAATCTTCTATATTTTTTAAATAACAAAGAAGTGGTTTTAGGATTTTAAAGCAACATTTATTATAGACATATATATTTACTTAAAAAAAAATATTAGGTAGACAATAAATGTAGATAGATTTTACAATATCTTGTAGTAAAGCCTTTTAAAAACTTAATAGATGTGGATTTGACTTAAATGTATTTGTA